TATTTGTACCCTAAAGTTCAAAGTGGGGATACAGCCTTTACACCCCCTTTTTGTTGTGTGTTTGTACAGTGCCCGAATAAGGGGGCCCTAGTACGTGATCTGGGCTCTAGCCACTACTGCCTTCTCATTCAACTCCTTTCTCAGATAAACAAACCTCTTCTTTTCAGTCTCTGAAAATTAGAGTTTTGCCATCCCCCTAATAAAGAAGGGCAAAAAGAATGATTAGGGGGATGGCAAAACTCTAATTTGATGAGAGATTGAAAAGAAGAGATTTGTTCATATGAGAAAGGATTTGAATAAGAGGGGACATGATAAAAGTATACAAAATAAGTAGACTAGGTGCTTCTTTTCTCTCCATCATGTAAGAACAAGGGGACATGCCAATGAAATTGAAAAGTGGCAAAATCAAACTAGTAAGAGGAAATACTTTTTCACGCAAAATACAATTAAACTTTTTACCATAAGAAGTCATTAAAACCAAGAATTTAGCAAAATTCAAAGAGGATCTAGGCTTTTATTTGGATAACAAAAATAGCCAGAGTTATAATTAATTAGTGGTAACAAATCCTTTAGGAAGGGATATAAAATCCCATGCATCAGGATTTAAGTGTTATGTGTGTCAGTTCCAAAGGTAACTGCACCTCTGACCCATTTGAAAGCTCCTTGAGTGCATCCTACTTAGCTTTCAGGCCACTAGCTGTCACCTTTCTTGGGGTAGAATCCTATGACTCTCTCCCATTAGAGTGAGGATTTAGGCTGCAATTCACTGTGATTATTGCAACTGGTCTGAGTTTAGTCCAGCACTTACAGCTCTCTCAGGGGACAATGACAGGTTAACCAATGACTAGTCAACCTTCATAAGCAAAGCATTATTTACTCAGAACAAAAGCATTGCAGAGAAAACATGTCTTAAAAACAATAAACATCTTAGATGCTGATCCAAGTTTGCCAAACTGTCATCAATCTTCCACATAGAGGCCCTCATAGGAATGAGTACTGTACTTCCAAACCCCTCTCACAGGTTCTGTCCTGCTTGGTGACAGTGTCATGTCAATTCCTGGACTGAGGTAGAATGACTTACTTCCTTTCCCCAGGGTGGTCCCTTTATACAGTTCTCAGCTCTTTGTTTCTTAGTCTTCTGTAAACAGTTCAAACCAGGATGTCCAATTTCCCCCCAAGTGGGTGAGGTTGCTTCAGACTAGCTACATAAATCCCGCTCCCATAGTTCCTGCAGTAAACTTCTGTAATTCTCCCCCTCATCGCCTGCTATGGAGCTAAAGTATAAACCCTAGCCCATACGATACCTGTAATGTTTATAAAGTTGATACAATATTCTCAAAGATAGCCCATAATATCGGTCATATTAGGGGCTATGCTGCAACTTTCATAGGGGGTGGGTGATTAGATAATCCCACATCTGCCTAATGTGTGGTTTCTTTCATTTTCCTCCTAAGCATCTGATGCTGGCAATTGTTGGGGACAGGATACTGGACTGAGTGATCCAGTATGGCAGTTCCTATGAATTTCACTAGGCTCTTAGGGCAACATTTTAAAAAGTGATTTATGCATTTAGGAGTGAGATTGACTTTTAATGAGATTTAGGCTCTAAAAGACAGACTTGTTAACTAAAGATGCAGACAAATGCCTAGTGCAATTTTCTCAAAGGGAGTTAGGTGCTTTGGAAAAATCACACTAGGCACTTGATCTACTGACATATTTAGGCATCTAAATACCTTGGTGCCTAAGCCACTTTTGAAAAGGGGATTTTTAGGGCCAGATTTATAAACATATTTAGATGCCTAAAGATGCAGATAGGCACCTGTGATTTATAAAAGCTTCTAAACCAGTTGGGTAATAATTACCTAAGTGCCGATGTACCTTTGTAAATCTGGCTCCTAGGCAATAATCCTGCAAGCATTTACAGGCATGCTTAGCTTTCCTCATGTGATTAGCCCCAATAAACTGAATGAGATTACTGGCGTATTAAGCACACGTGTTGCAGAAACCAGCCCTTAGTTTCTTGACAAGAGTTTCCCACAAGAAGCTCTGCCAAGGTGGGACGGTAGAAAGCAAACAACAGGCCTCCGGGAACAAGGTGTTAGTACATTGTGTGGCCTAGGGGCGAAGTTTGTCTGTCCACTTGGGCTTCAGGTTTCAGCCTTTCTGTGGCAAACAAAGCCCCCAGTGAAATGATCATCATGAAAACCAGGGGCTGATCCCCCAGCAGCGTCAGGTTCTGCGGGGCTCAATGGAATCCGCGCGCTCCTCGCCTCTGCACCAGGCGCCGCTTGCCCCGCCGGCTTGTGCGGGGTTTGGCCGGGAGTCGTGCGCGGAGCAGGGGGAGGGCCGGGGAGGAGGGCGGGGTGGAACGCGCGCCGGGCGCAGGGAGCTGAGTGGACGGCTGGAGACGGCGGCGCGTGCAGCAGCTCCAGAAAGAGCCGGAGTTGGCAGCGTCGAGCCGCATTTCCAGTAGGAGCGGAGAGCCTGGTGCGGGGCTTGCAGCAAGGTGATGGGCTAGGCACCATTGCTCTACGCGCCCCGACTTCAGCTCCCCTCCTCTCTCTGCCCTGTCTCCTCTGCTCTGGGGAGGAAGGGAGCGAGCATCCCTACTGCGGCTCTCCCCGCTCCCGCTACCTGTCCCCCTCCCGCCCCTCCTTTGCCCGGGGAGCGCTCCCGTGTGGCACTGTGGTGTGGCTTCTTGTTTGTGAACCCCCCTCGCTTTGTGTCTCCTCTTGCACAGATGCTGAAGGTGGCAGCCTTCATGTGCGTGTGTGCAGCAGCTTGGTACAGCCAGGGTCTAGCAGCAGCGGCGGCGGCAGCCGGGGGCAGGTCGGACCCCGGGAATTTTCTGGATGATAAACAATGGCTCACTACCGTCTCCCAGTATGACAAGGAGGTCGGACAGTGGAACAAATTCCGAGACGTAAGTTCAACCCCTCCCCACCGACTCGTCTGGGGTTAAATGCAGCCGCGGCTGGGTTCGGCCCTTCTAGCTGGGGGAGGGCACAGGCGGGGGAGTAATAAGTTCTCAAATCCTCTCATGCCTTGTTTCAGAGTGGTAGCCGTGTTAGTCGGTATCAGCAAAACCAAGGAGACCTTGCATGTTCCCTCCATCGGGCTCGGAAGGCTGGAGCGAGGCTGTGCTACATTCTTCCCTGTAGGCTGGCTTTGATGGCATTACAAAATATTGGCCCTTGTGTGCAGCCATCGCAGCGGTGCGGGCTGAACTTTTCTTGAATGATGTTTCCGCACCATGGCGGTGCGCTGAGTGTAAACACACACACAGCGAGAGAGTGCATGCGAGCGAGGGGAAGATGTGCTCTCCCACAGTGGTGCTGCTGCTAGGCGATCCCTGATGTGCTCCTGCTGCTGAGCAATAAGGATCGATCCGGTCACTAATAGGCTTTTAAAGAACTTTAAACTAGAGCTGGCGGCGTAGGGGGATGTCGGCTCGACCCCAGTGGGGGAGGGGAAGGGGCTACTTGTGCAGGTTAGTACTGGTATCATAAGTGCTGATCCTTGTTGATATATTAACTTTTAAAGGACGACGTGCCTTCCCCTCCCCCCCCATTTCTTAAGCTGCAGGCCCCCTTGGAGGCGATAATAAAAGGGTTAACTCGGGCTATGCCTTTTGCAAAGGGTCATTCGAGTAAAGGAGGCTCCCGTGGTCGGATCTGGCTGTTGCACCGTTAGCCGTGATATGTCTGCCATTCTTTCCACCTGATTTGAGAGGAGCCCTGTAATAAACTGCCCTCTTCCGTTTCCAGTGCTTAGAATGTCAGGTGTGCGCTAATCCAGAGCTAGTCAATCACGTTTTCACTAGGGCATACCCCACCTGGCCAGCTATTTTTCCCCATTGGACTGTGAGATAGACGCACTGTACCAGCGTTTGGCCTCCAGTGACCTCTGTAGCCCAAACGTGAAATTCACAAGGCATCAAAGGAGCAAAGTGAAAAAGAGAGGAAGAGGCAGTTGCCAGTGCAGGCAATGAAGACAAATCGGGTTCAGCTTCACAAATCAGTGCAAGTGCAATCATGATAGTCTTGACAAATTGTTTCATGTGGAAAGGCAGTAACTTTCTGTTTAATGAGTCTAGTGGCTTCTTTCCCTGAAATGAGGTTAACACCACTGCTATTGAAATATGGATTTTGTCTGTCTGTCTGTCTGTCTGTCTCTCTCTCTCTCTCTCTCTCAATGGATTACTGCAGAAATACGAATTTCTGACTTTAAAATATGCTATGTGTACCTTACAATTTGTGTCAATATTGAAATTCATTTTGCAACACCAGTAAGTTCTAATGAGAAGTATTAGCAAGATAACAGACTATATGGATAGTTGCTATTTTTTCCTAAATACTTTTTATGAAATATACTTCAAAGATGAATCCCAGTATGGTACCTAAGTAAGGGCATAAATGGCTTGTATATCATAACATATTTCAGCTGCATGGGAATAGTACCTGAACATTAAAGCTAATTCTTGCCCAGATATCATGAGTTGAATAGTGGTTCTGATCTCTCAGATCACTTCAGTTGTTGTCATAACAAACATGACAACTTAATTTAGTGGAAGCGAATGGGTTGTTATTTTGTTTACCATTACTGTTTGTTAACTTTGGCGTGCCCTGATGTGTGTATGTGTTTGTTTTCAATCAATTAATTCCAGGAACTATAAAGTCCTGCATCTTGCCGCTTTTATGTCCCCCCTATTTGCTCAGTGGATTTCTATTTATCCCTTATTGAGTTGGTTTAAGACTCCAATATTCAAAAGGTTCTCCTCTTACAGTTTGTCAATAACAACCCATCTCTGTACTTGACTCTAGTGATTCTGGGGAAATGACATTTTTTTTTTTCTTCCTAAAAAGGAGCTATATCCAATGCACTTCTGAATATTGTACTTGAATGTATATTTTGAAGGTGAGATATGAACTTGAGAACTAAGATTGCATGAATAAAAAATGAGTTACTTCTACATTTATGGGAAATTCACTTCCACAATGTTTTACAGGTTTTAAATGTGTATTATGAGTTATGCCAAACACCTCTTAAATACTAATATTTGTTGTTGGTGGTTTTTTTTTTTAAAGATGTTTCAATATTTCTTCCGAAACGTGCACTGCTATGTAAATATTATAGGATTAAGTACTGTTGTGGACAATGCCAAACAACTCATAAGTTAAATTTTATAATTAGACAATATCACTTCCATAAGATAGCATCTGCAGCCTGTCTGGAAGACAAGTGCTTTCTAATGTCTGTCTCTTGGGTGCCCATTGGCATATATTGGATATTAGCCAGATAATTTACTCTGTGACAGGTAGGTATCCCAAGGGTTTTAGAAGTTACTATTCTGAGTGAGCACTGAATACAGATCGTTTTTAGGCAACCCTTACAAATATGCTGGCTTATTTCATTTTTTTTAAATTTTATATATAATTTTTATATATACATTTATTTTCTCGTGGTTTTATGAAGTTATTTCTGTGAGGATTCTAATCTTATTTCTCATAGAATAAGAGTCGGTTGGTTATTGTATTGAAATCCAACTATTCTAACTCATTAGGAAGTGGCTATAATAGAAAGTTGTTTTGCAGTGAAGTATTACTATCTTTAAACTGTTGGTGGGTTTGCAGAAATCCATAGAATATAACTGGAGCAAATCAATAACTGAAAACTGAACTTAACTATTTGTCCAGCAGTTTGCAAGCGCCCCCCCTTCCCTCCCCCTCAAGAAAAGGAGAACTGATTTCACGCAGCCTTGAACTACCATCTTAAATTCTTAGATTCACTAAAATGTATTACTCAGTTATCTATCTGTGACTTTTTGTAATGTGACTCTTTGAAATTGGGGTTAGATACTTCATTGCTGCTTTAAAAAGTTTTAAGAAAAACAAATACATATACTATACACATGTATAAGGAGTTAAAATTGGAAGTGCTGCTTTGTGAGGCCTTTATTTATAATTTTTTTTCACTATTCAGAAATAAACCTGTTTTCCACAAACCAGGGAAAAAAAACCACAGTTGTGTAGGGGAGATGGAGTTTTGTGTGTGTGTGTGTGTGTGTGTGTGTG